TTCTTGTCTTGCCGCCCCCCCCCCCCCCTCCCCGTCTCCTTTCTTTAATCATCATCATCATCATCCATCCTGTCTACCTGTCGAGACGACAAGAAAGAGAAAAAAAAAGAGAAGAGGAAGGTCCGAAACAACATTTCATCTATAGTAAAACAAATTTTTCGTTTTTTTTCTCTCTTTCTTTTCACATGTATTGTGTTGAACGGTATCCGTACTAACACACTTAGCACATAAATACTTCGGTCTTTATCTCGGTGACCTCAAAATAAGAATGAACAGTGCAATTTTCTTAATGTGAAGTGTATGAACAAAACTGACCGGAACAGAATATAAAAGAAAATGCTTGTTTTGTTCTTTGAACACCTACTCTTTCGTTGTATAGTCATGTTTTGTCTATGGCACTATCATCGTATGTCACATTCTATGTTACAATCATCGATTAATTGTTGGACTCGATTAGAAGATGAGCATATATCATCTATCTGTATGTATCTTCAATCGACAGGTGTTTGTGAACAATGATGACATTGATAAGACGCAAGACAAACATCACTTGATCGATTAAACATACTTACGCTAAGCTTTATTTCTACAAAGAAGTGCTAATGCAAACACTATGACTACATTAACAATTTCTCTTTTTCGTTTACTGTGCACAAGTGAAGAAGAAAAACTAGGTCACAATAACCTGCTTGTATTTTTTTAGTCATTATTATCTCATGATCGTTGACCTAGATGGGCTCATGTAAAAAATAACACATACACGATTTGTTCGTTATATGTGTTAAATTTCTTTGAACAACCATTCATTATTAATCGAAAGAGAAGAGCTATATGATATACACATGATAGAGAAATGAGCGATTTTTTTTCTCTTTATAAAAACTATGCTTTACGCTACTATTGTACTCTAGTCAAGTAAAATTTCCGTTTCACACGCTGTGAAATTAATCAATGTCGGCTGTTGTGCTTCATTTCATTCATATATTGCTTCAATTCGAATATTCTCGTCTAATGAATTGAAATAGAACTTGACTTGAAAGAAAAAAACAAAACTAAACGTCGAATAAGAGAAAACATACTCTGGGCGGAAGCGAAGTACAATAAAAGAATAAAATATATGCTAACCTGATGATGGATGATAAGACGATAGCGATGAAGTGAGAGTTGATTCATTGTTTGCAAATACATATATTCTGTTTACTATCTTAAGAGATAAATAAATTGGTCTTTTTTTATGATGAAGATGATAAGACACTAGGCGAGTAGGAAAAGGCACGCAAGAAAATATATTTGAATACACGATAACAATTCGAATAATGATGCATGATTAAAAAAAACTTACTTTTTCTATTTTATTTATATAATTACTCATCGGTTTAACGCACATATGCATATGCAAATCGAACCGAAGGTGAAATCGAATGAAACATCATGCATGTAAATATATAAACGCTTGGAACCAGTTAAAAGTATGACAAAAATATGTTGTTTTTCATCATTCAATAATTTTACATGCTTTATACTGATTCAATCGAGTTGATAGTGTTTGAATATAACCGAATAGTATATATTTATATTTTTCTAAACCAGTATTCTGGTGATCGTTTTATTTTAGAAAAGAATTCCTATGTAGTTAATAACCCTTAAATACTTGTTCATTCTATAGAATGGCATATATTTCTGCTGTCAGTTCTATTCTTTAAAAACTGAAATTCAACAAAATCAATACACAAAAGTAACCCGGAACTTAATAAAAGAAAAGAAAAAAGAAAATACTGTGTGTGTGTGTTCCAGAATGACATTTTTGCTCTGTCTCTGCCTCTCTTTTTCTTTTTCGATTCTTTGTTTGAAGATTTATGTGATGGTTACTATAGGGCGAAATGCAGAAGAAAAAAAAACAATAATAACAACAAAACAAAGTATGTTTACATCCGTAGTCGCTTTAATCATGACATTTTACGTTATATCTCACATACTTTTAAAATACGATACTTTCAATTATTATAAAACTAATACTCATCTGTATTTTACATGGTTTTCGTGCATAAAAACAAATCCAAACGTTTAGAAATTTTTTACCAATTACTAACATCAATGATTGACATATTTGCTAATTTCCTACTTTTTTTTTATACAACATTCATTTTTTTACCACGCATTTGCATCTATCAATGTAAGCGGGAAGTGTGATTATCGAGTGTGTTTTTTTTGCTTCCTTGCTTTCCCGCCCGTATTCGTATTTTGTGAAAAAAAGACGAACAGGAAAAAAGAAGAAAAAAGTAAACTTTGTTTTTTTGAGAACATAATCGAAGTAAATGAAGAAAAAGAAACAATACCATTCAACATTATATGAAGCACATAAGGCCAAAAAAACGAAATCCATCTCAAGTATTCTACAAAATTGATCAATGCACATGAATACCAGTAAAGAAATAAGAGAAAAAACGACGTTTTAATCGTTCTTTGCATGTGCACTGACGACAAACAAAAACTTTGTTTATTTTCTTTGTTAGCTCAAATTAGTACGAAAACAACGAACAAATAGTTACTAATAGTTCGACACACTTAAATTTCTGTTTGATACATTTAAGAGAAAAAAAGTGAAAAGAAATATTTTACGAATTTTTATAACGAATAGATTGTGTAATGTTTTAAATGATGATTAGAAAAACATCGATATCCATTAGTAATTATGTTGTTTTCTTCTTATTCTGTCCCTACTATGCCTATTGATCGATTACAGCTTGATGATAATAGGAAAAGAAAAGAAAATAGATAGTAAAAAATAAGCTACGTATGCATAAAATATATTCATCGTAAAATATTAGAAATAGTTAATGGGTAATCGACAGAAACAATGTGTTTTGACAACAAAAGATATTCAGATCTTATCAAAAACAAGTGGCAAAAGTGAAAATGAAATTCGTCAATGGTATAATAAATTTCTTCAAGAGAGTAATAATACCGGCCGAATGAATAAGCAACAATTTCAAGTATATTACACAAACTTGAAAAAGTATCCGAATTCGGATACAATAAGTGATCATATATTTCGTGCATTTGATACGGATCGTTCTGGTAAATTCAATAACTTTACATTCTATTGTTCAAAATAACTTTCTTTTCTAAGGTTCCATCGATTTTCAAGAATTTCTTATTGCTTATATCGCAACAAGTGAAGGTACAGTTCGTCAAAAATTTGAATATGCATTCGAAGTATATGACATAAATGGTGATGACATGATTGAAAGAAAAGAAGCAAAAAAGATTCTTAATCTATTATGTCGAATTCACGGTTTTTCCGAACACGATGCCGTAATGTATACAAATACAGTTATGCTAACATTTGATACAAATCAAGATAAATTTTTATCAAGAACTGAATTTATTAATGGTTGTTTACATGATTCAGCATTAGGACATATATCAAATCCATTTGCTATTTAACTGTCAACATAAAATGATGATTCTTCGTATATTGATGAGAATAGCTTTTCTGGGTTGATCGTATCGGATGAATCACTATTATGATAGATGAAGTATACCTTATTTTTGATTTTGGTGAATAAAAATGATAACTTTCTTCGTCAACATACTAACAAAATGATATGTCAATATAATCACGGGTTAAGGTTTCAAACGAACTCATAAACAAGTCGTAGTATTGAATGGCTTGCATTTTTCTTGTATAATAATGTTGTCATAAACTTAGTTACTACGAAGAATCGTTCGTTTTCCATAATAATTCTCCTAATATGCGTTGATCACGATATAGAAATAATATTCAACATTTTATTTTTATTTTTGATAGTTATTAGAATAGAAATAAAATGCTTTGGTGACTACATTAATGATCGACCTAGAATTTTAGAACAATGACGCATTGATCATCAAAAGACTACTTTTTTAAATTTATTAAAGATCCGAACAATATTTCGAAAGTGACAAATGAATAGCTCACTGAATTGTTTCATCAAAAAAGTAAAGAGTTACATAGTACGAAATTTTTTTATAAAATTTCGACTATTCATTTTGGGACTTTTTTCCCGATATCAAAAGGATGAAATGAAGACTAGAAGAAGAATCATGAATGGTTTTATACGATTGTGTTCTTTCTACTTCAAGTAATAATATCTAGATATTCGAATAAAATTCTTTGCTCTCTCTCGAAAGCGTTTAGATTGCCATGAGACGTTCATTAATACATTAGTTCGATGCATCACAATGTATATTTGTGAGCACAACAATACAACATCAATAGTGAGCTGCCAGCTTATCAGAGCATCGTACACGGCTACGATTGATTCGAGAGATACAAATATACTGCTAGTATTGTATGCCTAATATTTATATACATCAATCAAATGTTCGTTTGAAAAGGTAAAGATAAAATAGCATTAATATTTGACGGTAAGTGCCAAAACTAACGAATCCAGCAAAATACACCAGTTCTACAGTGTTTTCAAAAGAAATGATTCAATTTTTGATTTAACCAAACTTTCTTTGCCGTTTTCTTTACTAGTCAATTGTATGAATTTTAATGTATTTTCTAATTCACCTTCAGATATATTTCGAGCTGCGAAGTACTGCAATGTTTACGACTCGTCAGTCAATCTTTCTCATGCCCTCCAAGCTTAAGCATAGTGAACAGTCAACGATGCAAGCAGTTGAGCTTGACAGTTTTTGCTGTAATAAACAGTTGCGGACATTGGCAATTTCAAGTACCATGACATGAAAATATAGCATAGGTTTCTTGCACCTCTTGTCTGGACAGCCAAGATCTAGTTTTTTGCTGAACAATCAGATAACTGCTAATGGAACTAGACATTTCTGAAATTAAATTTTTGACGAATACTAGATAACGATCTAGGATTCAGAATTTCTCAGAGAAAAATTGAACTATCAGTTGTCTATGGTCAAAAAGAACATGTTCGCAAAGTCAGTTTGAATAAATTCCTGATAGGAAGAAACAGTAAAATATGCATGAAAAATCAATTTGACTACGACTGCTTATCAAAAAGAAACGTTTTCACAGAAAATCATAAAAAGATTACTTACACGTTCAAAGAGGATATCAACATTTTAAACATTCAACAATTAAGTAATTAATTATTCTCCATGTGTGGGGGAAAGTATTTCCTATAACATCGAAATGTAGAAACAAAGTTTTCAGTAACGATTGACTGTTTTAACAAGATACAACCGAAGTGTACTCGTATCATTTAACATAATCTTGTCGAGATAATATCATATTTTTTATTAATACAGGTCACTGGTCATCCATTGATCCTAACTCAATGTCTTCATACTATTCAAATTATAATAAAGCCACTACAACCACTCATAGATTTCTTACGCTACTATCACTTGGAATATAATGTCACATTGTTCTGGAAAACAAGTTATGCAGTACCTATTTTTTCATGATTCAATCTCTTTCGCTCTATTATATAGTTACTCCTTCAACTGTCAGTGTAAATTACGTAAGAAGGCCAAATGAAAACTAATGCTGCATGAATATCGAATGTAAAAAATATTCACATACAATTCTAAATGATCGATATGATCTTTCCCAAAACTAGGACAGATATGTACGTTTAAAACGAAATAACGATACTTGCGTAGTATATTAGTGCTTGAATTGTTAAGAGAAAAAGCTGAGTCGAATGAAACAGCAATTGAGAAAAGGATAACATGTAAATAGAGCGAAGCTCATTTATTTTGCCCCATTCATAATAAAGATCAAAGCATTGAATATCAATATCGTCTTGATTATTCTAAAGATTCATCGGAGTATCTCATGAAAACATTATTTTTTTGCAAGTTTATACAATAACAGACGCTCTAAACAAACGAGCAAATACATGATTGAGCGCAACTTTGAAAACATGAAATAGACAGTTACAACACATGATGTATACACAAATCAAATACACAAAAGAAAAAGAATATATATATATATATATGTATATGTGTTTGAGGAAATTATGACTAGTCATGAATACAGCTAAGATATCCTCTATATTATTGGTTTTTGTTTTTTACCAAGCTATTTCGACATTTGAAAAAATGTATGTATCTGCTTGTTGCATAATAGATTCAAAACGATCGAATAACTAAATTTCGTACATAAATCAATAGAAGAATGGATGAAAAAATAAAAAAATAATTTACTTCTTGTAACCATGCAGTATCTCCGCAAATTGCACTAATTAATTCAGTTGCTTCAGCTGTTGGATTCAAAGCTTGTAATTCAACAACCTTGTAAAACATATCATGAAAAGAGCAATAAATAAATATTGTATTTATTTACCTTTTGTTGTGCATGACAAAACATATGATAAATATGATGTTTGAGTTGATGAGCTGTTTGAGCTAAGACAGCTATATTTTCACATACAAATATTTCCTACATTGAAAAGTAAATATTGCTATTTTTGACACAACAAAATATCGAAGATAAATTTTTACCAATATTTGTAATGGAGTTTCACTTGCTTTTAATGTATCAACATCGTATTGATTTCCATGAAAACGTAAGGTATGTGATACTGATTGAGATTTATCTTCAGTAACCTAGATTAATCAAATTCGTTGTTTTAATGAATTTTTTGTTTTCGAATTTACTTGACAATGCAATTGTCGTTGTGGTTGAGCAATAATATCAAGTAAAGGATATTTAGCAACTGCATACTATTAAAATAAAATATTTTTTAAATGGAAGAAAATTTTCGAATTTATTTATTATACCGGAAATGTTTCAATCGTACGTCTTGATTGAATAACATAATTATAACGTTGTTCAAGTATTTCATCAATCAATCGAATATATGTTGCATATTCATCTAGTCAAAAGACAAAGATTGAATTAGCTTTAAAATGAAGAGCATACAATTAATCCACGTTACCGGTATTTGCTTTAATTCGTGGTAACACATCAGCATCATAAACATGATTAACAAGTACTTGGGCATAAACATCATGTTGAATACGTACTGAACTCATATAACCATGAATTCTATGCATAAGAAAATTTCTCAATCGATTTTTAATTCCAACATTATATAATTGACGATATCTTACTTAAGCTTTATTGGATGGGATTCATTAACGATACGAACTACTTCTTGATTATTATGTAATCCTTTTAATTCACATTTTAGTGGAACATAATCTTCATACACATTGGTATAGAACATTCCCTATCAAAAGAAATAAATCAATTATATTCCTATTCAATAAATATCATGTTCAAAAAAAACAAATAAATAAAAGTAAATGAAAACGTTAAAAGTTTGTACATCGTTTTATCAATATGATAAACTGCTTTTCAATGCTATGCAATGATCGAATATTGTTATAACAGAGATGGTTGAGTCCAACATTTTCGACTCAGGCGTTTTCTATTTTAATTATCATTGCATCTTAAAATACTCGACCTTAATAGCATTTCTTTTGTTGCTTTATAATTACAATTTATATTCAGAACAAAATTAGAAGTGTACAGTAATGTAGGGAATAAAAGTTTTCTAGATCATGCTTGGAATTCAAAACTATGATTGAATATTTTATGATTAGATACGAAATATTCTATAAACCATATGAATTAGAACATACTAAATAAGTAGAAAACAAAATTGCATTGAAAAGTATATTCGAGTGTAACAAAAAAAAATATTCGGGATCATTTTTCTCTAAAAACAAGACTGAAATATAGCTCAGTTATATATAATTCTAGAATTAACTCCTACTATTCTGGTATTTACATAAGATACCTTCAAAGTAGGATCATTGATGGAAAAAGATGTTAACATAGATTCATCAGTTGCTATTCTTACTCTCTCAAAAGGTCTGACATCAAGTATAATAAACCTGTGATATTTTTCTTAGATTTGCAAAAAAACATCAATCGATTCGATCTTTATCAAATCAAAATACCTCATTAATTCAGTTTTATCTTCTTCTTCTTTTCAAAAAAATTGAATGCCAACAGTCGATCATATTATGCTTATCTCTCTCATTATTCAACACATTTGTTTTGTTATGATGATAACAATTTTCCAAAGCATGATCTAATGTCATACAGAATATACAAGGAAAATTTCTTATTCTCAAATCTCAGCTGCTACGGACTTTGATGACATGTATACGTTCATCTATTGATATTATTGCAAATAAACTGAGACAGTAATGATTACAAAACAACGATGTCAATTTATTTGCACCATTACAATATCTCTTTTTGTCATATTTGAAAACTAGTTCATCCAAAGGATCAGCTGGACTAGAAGTTATCTTTTTACTTCAACCAACGAAAGGCTTCTCAATTTCGAACAGTATATTGAATTTGATACAAAAAAAGAACGATAAATCATCAATCGCAAAGTACAATTTTGTTGCTAGACTTCCTATATAGAATCTTCTTTGACTCTAGTATTTGATCTAAT